CGCACGCGCACACACACACGCGCACGCGCGCGCGCATGCGCGCGCACACACACACACACACACACACACACACACACACACACACACACACACACACACACACACACACGCTCTCTTTCTACATGTGCCAGGGTGCCATCCATTTCCTCATGCTGAGGTGCAGCATTTCCTGTGAGATGGTGGGGGGTCAGTGGGCCTTAAGTGTGTGTTTGTGTGTGCCTCAACATTTCAGTAATGTGGTGTGTGTGTGTGTGTGAGTGGAAAATGTTCTGCACTTAGCAAAGCACTTTTTCCAGGCTGAGCAATGGGGATCACTCCCATTTAATGATCTCTTTCTGAGTGCCAGCCCTTGCATTTTCACTCACATGTGTACACAATCACACACAAACACACACATGCACAGTGCACCATTGCCTTTTTGTATCAACATTGCTCTCCGTGACATGTGGGCTGCTAATGCATGAAATATGAGCCAAATATAGAGAGTTATATTGATAAAAAGCCACAAATAATTTTCTGTTTGCTAAATTCCCAAAGCATGACAAATCTTTGGCCATTCCCCATCCATATTTCATCCCGGATGACTAGCGTTTTTTTGTTCTGCGTGTCTCCATTGTGCCTTCAGGCAGTGAGTATGATGAGGAGGAGGTAGACTACGAGGAGTCGGACAGCGATGAGTCGTGGACCACAGAAAGCGCCATCAGCTCCGAGTCCATCCTCAGCTCTATGTGCATGAACGGGGGAGAGGAGAAGCCGTTCGCCTGCCCCGTCCCCGGCTGCAAGAAGAGATACAAGGTAAGGCCGAACCGAGGATTGAGAGGCGGCCCGGCTAAAAGCTTTAGTGTCAAATGCTTAATAGCTACAATATAGTTCACATGCTCTTCCAACAGTACGACACACAATATACAGTATTGAAGAAGAAGAAATAAAATAGCGCAAGCAACACAACGGTGCAAGTAAAATGCCGAAATAAGCTAATTATAAAAAATGTAAAATAGAGTAAGATAAAAAAAAAAAAAAAGTAAAATAATAATAATAAATACAGCGTTTTGTAAAAGTCAATGAAAAAATATCTATACTGTAGATGTTCTATAGATAAGTAAGTTATTCCATTTCCCAGAGCTCAAGAGCTTATCAGTCTGTGGGATAAAACTGTCCCTGAGTCTGGAGGTCTTTCTCCTGATCCTGCGGTAACGTCTGCCCGGTGACAGCAGAACAAATCTTGTTGCTGGTTATTTCTGGTAAAGCCCACATTGAAGCTTTTGTCACTGGCATCACATGTCTGGAATTTATCATTTGGAAAAAAAGCACATTTTAAATCAAGAATGACGTGTTTGTAAGCAGTGACGAATATATCATGTTGCGTTTGCTTTGGTTGACTTTTATTACTGCTGGTCATGAAAATCCTCATTCATTTTGTAACTTTTTAGACCAAAATAGTCTCATGGTATAAAGTCACATTTGTTGACCATCTGAATGGGTCCACACACGTAATCAAATCTAAATGTTCCACCCAGTTTGTGACCAGGGTTTGTTGCAGTCTGATATTGTTCAGCTTTATATAACGATATATAGATATAAAGTAGAACTTAACTTAAGAAAGTAACTGTAGAATCTTTATATACTAATCAGTTTTATCAGTATCATTAGTCATTTAATATGTGGACTTCAGGATGACTAACAGCGGCCAAGGCTGCAAATTTAATATGAATAAAATAAAATGACCTATGAATAAAACATTTCATGATCATTTGAGAGGACACCAATGTTTTCTAGTGTAAACATGCTGATTTATATTAATTTAGCAAGGGACTAACTCTGTTAAGCATATATACACATTTAGATTACTAAAACTAAAGTGCAGTCTACTGCCAGCAGCTTGTTAGCTTAGCCTAGCTTAGCATAAGGACAGGAAACCGGATAAAAAGCTAGCCTGGTTCCATCTAAAGATAAATAATCTACCTATCAGCACTTCTTAACTTAATAAATGATACATAAAATATTGAACTCTACAAACAGTATACTCACTATCTGCAAGTGTGTAAAAGTACACTTGCAGATAGTGAGCTTTAAAGCTTCTATTTGGTACAATTATTACCCAGCTTCCCCTTTCGTAATGAATCTCTTTCTTCCCTGTCTCTTCAGAATGTGAATGGTATTAAGTACCATGCCAAGAATGGCCACCGCACGCAGATCCGCGTGAGGAAACCCTTTAAGTGTCGCTGCGGCAAGAGCTACAAGACCTCGCAGGGCCTGAGACATCACACCATCAATTTCCACCCGCCCGTCTCCACCGAGATCCTGCGCAAGATTCAGGGTTAGAGCCCGCGCTCTCACCATCACTACCCCAAACATAGCCCTATCCTGACTGTCCTTACCCACCCTTTACACCCATCCCCAACACTAAAGGGTCAAGTGCGCGCTTTAAGTTTAATTTTCTTTTTTCATATAATTGTTTGTATGTTACATATTTTTTTCTATCCATTTTATATCACTTGTATTTTTGAAAAAAAATATCTTTGTAGTATTTGTATTGTTGTACATTTGCACATTCGTATATACTATCACGTTCTTTTGTTCTCTATTGTTTGATTTACATAAGGTGCTAACTGTAAAAAACAGAAAGAAAAGAAACAAAAACAAACGACATGAAAGAAACTGGGGAAGATGTGAAACAGGAAGTGCAACCAAGCCCTGCCCCTAACATGAAGTTGACGTTAGAGCTGATCTGAGTTCAGTAGTTGTTACACTCCCTTTCCGTTTATGCAGAGAGTTAGCTGATCTCAGATCTGTGCCTTCGCAGTAACTTCTGGGGGTTTGAGTGCCGGAGTCAAGTTATACTTTAAATAGATTTATTGATATATAAACAATAGACAGATATGTATGTGTACATAAAAATATATAAAAGTATTCATTAGCATATACATAAATAGTTACATTTTATTTTCAAGCTTTATTTTATATATTTTTGTCAGTGTTTTATTCTTTCTATGTATCAGTAAGTGTTCCTTTAATTCCTAAATTGCTGATATGGCCAGTTTTGTCACCTCAAAGGTCAAACAGCTGGCTGACGACGGGTTCGAGTGTTTTCTCTCACCCCGCCCCCGAGAGATAAGGAGCCAAAACGCCTTTCTGTTTGTTACTCTGAATTTATGTTTTAATTCAGGACAGCGTATTATAACACGGCCCAGGCCAACAATCCATATCTGAAAGGCTTCATCCGCTCCGGAAAGCCGACCAATATATTTCATATCTCCAGTGTTTCCTCATTCAGAGTGCCAGAGCTGTGTTCAAGAGACTAAGTGGTGACTGCCATCATGCTGTGTTTCCAGTTGCCAAGATCTTTGTTGTGTTTTGTTCCCATGATGTTGCCATCAGCTCTCCACTGCCAAACATTGACCATACCATGTGCCTGATGAGGGGGGGAGGGGGGGAGGGAGGGAGGGTGAGGCAGCTGTAATAGTTTCACCCTGGAGCTCGCCAAACGTGTGGCAATGATTTTCTTCTTCAACGCGCCTCCAAAATGTGCGCATGAGTGGATGTACGTCCACAGAATGTTTTCATGCATGCATTTTTGTGTCGTTACGAGAAGAAGAAAAAAAGTTTTGTATTGAAAGAGATTACCACCTACAACCTGTTATTTGTTGTTGTAGACAAGAGCATTCCAGTTCATTGACTTCATGTGTGTGATATGTATGCCTGTGTATTTCTCAGCACTATCCAAGTCATCAGCATATAGAGTGTTTGTGTATTCCGCGTGTTTCTGCGTCTTGTGTTTTCTGTGCCAGGCAGCCGGTTGGTCTCCTGTGGAGCAGGACAACTGGCGGTGTTTTTGCCTCATGTAGTGTAGCGGTGGCCAACTTGGTGGCCAA